CCATCTCAACAATTGCATCACCACATGCCGCACTGCAGACTGAACAAGAACGTGTGAATCATCTGCCTCTGGTCATCCTGGTTGACGCTGAAGAAGTGGTCGTCAACAATGCCAAGGTTCCCTGGCATGATGGCTGGGCAAAGAGGAATAAGAAGGCTCTGGTTCATGTGCGATTGCAAAAGCTTGTGGGTTGCGTGAACCTTCTTCCAAGTATATTCGTCACTGCTGTTGAGTAGATATTTGAGTATAACCAACCACTATGCTTGTCATTGAGTAATTGACTGTCTCAGAGAAATTGACTGTTTCAGAGAAAAACGTGACAAAGTAGCGTGAAGTGACACACAGCAGGCACTGTAGATGTTTTAGCGCACTCTCGTTGTTCGGCTCGCGACTAGTCTTTGTACACAGCAAGGATAGCGTAGTGCTTCCGCAGAACGACGTCCACACAGAATTTATCAGGAAGAAGTCACGGCATGAGACACACAGTTGGTTGGGTCTAGCGCGTCCACCCGAAGCAGATCTGGATGGTGTAGGCATCTGTGAAGTTGCGGCTGTTGTTCCTAACCCAGTCTTCCCATCCACTGGACCACTGGACCACTCGCCAAAACTGCCAGGTTTCTCCATGGGCAACCCAGCATCTGGTTGCTATGGACTGGTTTGGCCATCTTTCATGGATGAGCTCTGGCTGGTCGTCATGGTATGTCCTGCTTCCATAGGACCAACAGAGGCACACCTGTCTCTGGTTATCCAGGTTGGTATACAAGAAGTGGTCGTCAACAATGCCAAGGTTCCCTGGCATGATGGCTGGGCAAAGAGGGAGACCTACGAGCTAGTGGGCTGTAAAGTAGTAAATAGCGCATGCATAGCCATAAGAAGGCTCGGTTTGCCTGGTAAAGGTTTATGTGGGAAATGAATATTGCAAAAGCTTGTGGGGCGCGTTCAAACTTCTTGCTAGTATATTCTTCATTGCTGTTGAGTTGATATTGTTGTAGTTGGCCCAAGTTGTATGGAGACTTCTGCAATGTCACTGTGAGCCCCGAAAGGTCAGTCACGGAAAACGCACAGTCTGTTGGCACAGGCGCTCTGAGGGTGACATGTGCTTCGCTCTAGATGTAATTGAGAACCACCATGCTGGTCATTTTCCAATCGCCTCTCCTACAGAAACATGCAACAAAGTAGCACGAGGTGACACATAGCAGGCACTGCGCATGTTTTCGTATCCTCTGGTCGTTCAGCTCGCGACTAGCCCTTGTATAGGGCAGAGACTCCCCGACACTATGTCTATACTTGTCGTGCTTCCGCAAGAAGAATTCGTGGTATGAGACATGCAGTTAACATGTGAACATCTAGGTGACACTCTGCGTCGGGGAGACTCTCACTGCGTGGTGTTAAGTCGAGTGAGTTGAGGCAGTGTGTGGGTCTCTGTGTGTGCGTATCTATGTCTGTGTGTGTATGAGTCTCTGTCTGTGTGTGTCTCCGACTAAGTTGAGGCAGTGCGTGGGTCTCTGTTTGTGTGTGTCAACCTCTCAAGAGAGCCGGGTGGTTGGGAGACATGACTCAGCTGCAGGGGCGCCAGAGCAGCTGCGAGAGATGACTCAGCCGCGAGAGATGACTCATCCGCGTACTAAAGTTGTACTGCAAAGTCGCCAGTTCTCAGCTTCCAGCTCCACAGATTGCTCCGCGTACTAAAGTTGTACTACAAAGTCGCCAGTTCTCATCTTCCAGCTCCCCAGATACTCCGTTGTACTACAAAGTCGCCAGTTCTCATCTTCCAGCTCCCCAGATAC